ACAGTGAGAAAACACACACAGGGGGGGGGGGGGGGAGGCTTTTTTGGGTCAGGAGCCACTGACCCACAGAAAAATCAGTCGAGGGCCACACACAACCCCCCCCCCCCCACCGATGTGGCCCCTGATGGAGGAGAAAGACACTTCCCATGTTCCCCTCACACACCAGAGCCTGAGGGAACCCAGGCTAGACTATTTTGTGTGCACCATCCCCACAGTGGGGCAGTGGGGGGGCTGGAGGGCCAGCAGAGGCTCACCAATGCAGGGCGGGCCCTGGGTCTTGGGGGCCAGATCCAGGCAAGCCGGGGGCCATATCTGGCCCTCGGGCCGGAGGTTCCCCACCTCTGCTGTAACGCTTTGATCTGCGGCTGCTGCATACAGCGCCAGCAATGCAGTGCTGTGTGCACCATCCCCACAGTGGGGCAGTGGGGGGGCTGGAGGGCCAGCAGAGGCTCACCAATGCAGGGCGGGCCCTGGGTCTTGGGGGCCAGATCCAGGCAAGCCGGGGGCCATATCTGGCCCTCGGGCCGGAGGTTCCCCACCTCTGCTGTAACGCTTTGATCTGCGGCTGCTGCATACAGCGCCAGCAATGCAGTGCAAGCCAACGCAGCGTTCTCTTCCACGGCTTGGAAGGTGGGTGGGTCTGCCAAGCTGGAAATAAATCGTCTCTACAAATACGACAAAAAACCGTTTGTTTGAAGAACTCCAACCAGACCACACGTGCGCGCTGGGTCTCAGCAGGCGGAGAATCGACAAGGGGAAACGTCGTCGAAACCAACCTCCCAGGCTCGACGGCAGGACTCGCGCTGCCACGGCTAACGGCAGCGCCGACATTCCTTCTCTCTCTTCATCCCTGAGCCCCATGCGGTTTTCAGCCCCTGGGCAGGGAACGGCCGGTTGGCCCTGGACAGAGTCCGAAGCAGAGGGCCCTGCAGCGTTTGAGGGGCTGCGGTCCCTCTCCGTTTGTGTGTCTAGCCCCGAAACACAGGGATAGCTCGGTGCAGCGCGGGGGTCGGGCATTCCCGACATCTGTCTAGTGGGCACAGCTCAACTTGCTGCTGGTTGAACAGCTGGGGCGGTTCTGGGCTGGGCTGCAGTGTGCCACACCCCCACGTCCCTCCCCAGCTCCCTCTCTAGTCTCTCAACTTCGCTCTGAGCTTGTTGGCTTTAACCTCGTTCTCGGCAGCAGAGAAAAGACACTGAGCTTTGCATATGATTTTCCTTCCTCTGGCTCCCCACTTCGTACCCCACGGGACTCGCTGCGTGAAGCGCTGGGCCGGAGCTCAGAGGCGCTGGAAACGGGAGCATGTGGCCTTTTGCGATTTATTTGGTGGCACTGTTAGTGCTGCCACAGGGATGTTGGGTTTTCGTCACCGTGTTTATTTCAGGGTTCTCGGCAAGGAATCAGAGAGGCAACGGGAAAGGTCGCCGAGCCAGGCAGGGGTATGTGTGATCTTGCTGATGGAACGCAGCTTTCAACCCTGCAAGCTCAATTCTGACGCCTTCAAGGTCCTTCCAAAGGCACCTGGCTGCGGGAACTAATCAGTTTATTAAGGTGATTTAGTGCACATCGAAACAATCGTTATGGCCTAACCCAGTAACTATAGGCCACTTGACGCTGTTTGCCTGGCAAAGCGGAGAAAAAAACTTCCCAAAGAACTTTGAAGGTTGGTTCTGATTCCTCTCCATCAAAGCCAACAGAGCCCCTTCCCATTAGGAAGGCAGGATAAGGGTTTCCTGAAGGTAGGGAGGTTGGATGGGATCTGAGTGGCCTACAAGATAGGGAATTCCCATCCCCCTCTCCCCCCTTTAACCCAAATGAAATTAATGAGTAGCGGGTTTAAAACTAATAAAAGAAAGTTCTTCTTCACACAGCGTGTAGTTAACCTGTGGAACTCCTTGCCAGAGTAGGCTTGTGAAGGCTAGGACTATAATAGAGTTTAAAGAGAAGCTAGATAATTTCATGGAGGTTAGGTCCATAAAAGGCTGTTAGCCAGGGGATAAAATGGTGTCCCTGGTCTCTGTTTGTCAGAGGCTGGAGAGGGATGGCAGGAGACAAATTGCTTGATCATTGTCTTCGGTCCACCCTCTCTGGGGCACCTGGTGCTGGCCACTGTCGGCAGACAGGCTACTGGGCTAGATGGACCTTTGGTCTGACCCAGTACGGCCGTTCTTATGTTCTCTCAGCAACCATTGAGGGGCCAACACCAGTTTCCTTAGGGATGGAGCAGCGTCTGGTATTAGGAAGGCAAGATAAGGGATGCAGCGAAGGGATACTGGCGTCCTCCAGGGCAGAATTAGGCACTGACTTCAGGGGAGTGATCCCTGATTAGCGGCCGCGTAAGGGGTGAATGAGCCATAGCATTTGTTACCAGGTGTGAAATTTGTAACACAGAAACCTTGCGCCCCTCCCTGTCCTGGAATTTGGCTTGACAGCTTGAACGTCTGCCCCTAGTGAGAATCGGTGCTCCATAAACAGAGGTGAACACGCCAGGGAACGACATGCAACAGCTGACTCACCCAGAAGCAGCACAGCCGTCTGTGCGGCACGTTTACCAGACGTGGCTTCCGTGCAGCCTGCGGGGGCCCCCGGCTGGGCCTCCCTTCCAAAGAGGAATCACTCTGCCCATGCGGCCAACTGCACTGGAACGCCCCACGGATTCAGTCCTGGGCGGGGACAGGCGCAGTCCGGCTGACTCCTGCGTCGTGCTCAGAGCGAGCTATGGAAGGGGAGCAAATCCGCAGGGTTAGGGGACGTGCAGGGGTGGGGGGGCCCTTTGCTGCTTCCTTTCGGGATGTTTTCTCTGAGACACCAGCCACAGATGCCTCCCAGATGACTTCAAGGGCCTTTCTGTAGTGGGGGCGTTCGGGAATCAGCCCCGCTTGTCACGCTCCCTCCTCCTGCGCCCCTTCCCAGCCCAGGGCAGAAGCTGCTGCGTTCAATGGGTTTGGAAAGATCACAAAACATCTGGTCCCGCCTGGGCTGGTGGCTTGCAAGCAACTGCTGCGGCCTGGTCCCTCGGCCGGGCTTTACGGCGCAAACATCCCGTCTCCCCTCTGGCAGGGCGAGCACCGAAGGGCGGCGTTAAGGGGGAAGGAGACCGAGCTGTTGCTTCAAGTTTGTCCTTGCGGGCTCTGAAAGGCACCAGACTCCCTCCGGCCAATGCTCTATCGCCTAGCCGCTCAGACGGGGGCTGGGGATCGCTCTCGCCAGCCTGGGGCCGGGTGAAATATTGTTACTTGGCCTGTTTGCCTAGGCTGGGGAGCCGCTCAAAGGGGTGTTCTAAGGACTCATGAGCCAAGCCCGCTCAACAGCTGTCGGCCCCAAACTCTGCCCTGTGGGTTCGCCTCCGCTCTGGCATTCAAAGGTCCCGGTTGGTCTTTTGCCCGC